GGGGTGGAGAGGGAGCCCCCCCCCAGCCTAGCGCAGCACGGGCAGCCAGCAGCTGCGAGGGCAGGGGGCGCTTTCCTCTACCTGGAGCAACTGTTTGTAACCAGCTGCTGCTGCCGTCACTCAGTGGGCCCTGAGGGGCGAGCCCGGAGCCAGCATGGGGCCCAGGCTGAGCAGTGGTAGCATAGGACAAACTGCTGTTTAGCGTGGGCGAAAAACAGCCTCTCCCGCTGCCAGCGCTCCCTGGTGCAGGTGCTTGGAGCCCACGCAGGGCTGCCTATGCCTGCTCTCCACGGCCACTGCTGCCCCGCGGGACAGCCCAGAGGTGGCAGTGATGCAGCAGAGACACAGGCAGCTCCATGTGGGCTCTGGGTGGCTGCACCAGGAAGCACTGGCCAGAGGATGGGGAGGGGCTGCTTTTCCCTCCCAAGCTGAGCAGCAGTTTGTTCCATGCCGCTGTTGCTCAGCCCAGATGGACGAGCGCAGGGGCACAGGGTCGGGGATGCGCACTCTTGTCCCCGCCTGCATGGTGGGGCTGGGTCAGGGAGTGGAAGCGAGTGGGCGCACGGGAGCTAGTGACAGCTAGACAGGAGTGCAGGGCCCATGCCGGTGTCCCAGGGTCAGTGCCAGCGGGGCCCAAAGTGAGGCAGCAGGAGCACAGGGTACAGGCTGGCAGGGGTCTACTGAGCTGGGCTCGGCTGTGCCAGTGAGAGAGGGCAGAAAGCCCGCTGCTCGCTTCCACCCCCCTGCCACCACTTTCCTGTCCACCCGCTGGCCACTCTGCACCATTTGGCTCCTGGCTGCATGGCCAGACCACGGGACTCAACAGGAGCCGGCCCAGCCCCGAGGACTGGGGCGATTGCCCAAGGTCCTCCCCTGCCCCCCCCACTCTTACCTGAATTTTCCACTCCAGTGCAGGCAACAACAGCCACACAGTCCCAGGCCAGAAACCTTTGCTAGGCAGGGGCTTCTGGCTGGGGGGGAGGGTGAGGCTGAGCAGGCCTTGCTCTTGCAGGAGTCTACCATGGCTTCCCCTGGGTCCTAGTGCCCCTGGCTCCTTTCATCTTTGACAGGTGGCCAGGGGCAGATAAATATTAATTTTCTAGAGAGCCACGCGCATGATCAGAGTCAGGAGAACAGACCTTACGACGACAGGCTGAGAGCTATGGGGCTCCTTAGCCTAGAAAAGCGTAGGCTCAGGGGTGATCTGATGGCCACCTATAAGTTTATCAGGGGTGACCACCAGTATCTGAGGGAACATTTGTTCACCAAAGCACCCCAAGGGATGACAAGGTCGAACGGTTATAAACTACTGCAAGACCATTTCAAGCTGGACATAAGGAAGAATTTCTTTACTGTCCGATCCCTCAAGGTCTGGAATAGCCTGCCATCAGAGGTGGTTCAAGCATCTACACTGAACACCTTCAAGAGTAAATTGGATGCTTATTTTGCTGGGATCCTATGACCCCAGCTGACTTCCTGCCCTTTGGGCAGGGGCCTGGACTCAATCTTCTGAGGTCCCTTCCAGCCCTAATGTCTATGA